ATGTAAGTTAATGATTTAAATGCGCTTTTATTTTTGGCCTCTTGATGTAAATCCAAACCAGACAAGCGGAGTCCTCTGGTCAGACGGCTGGAAATTCCTCTGCATGAAATCATGTTGGTGGTCTCCCGGCTCAGCGCTTTCTGAAGAGCCGTACAGTGAAATATCCTTCCGTACCACTAATGAATGCGCCCACCCACACTGGAGCTGGTGCCCCCTAAGAACTCAATTCAAGAACAACTTTTTAAACTCATAAACGAAATCAAAGGGCTCATTCTATGAGCCAAAGAACTTACAATTTTAGGCGGGACAGTTAATGGGCGGTTCCTATAGGTTGTCCCCTTGGTTTGCAGTATACAGTCTCTCAGAAAAAATAATAAGCAGGATACTGAATATGTACACAGCATTCCAATTAATTAAATTTCATCCTCCTCCAATGAATACATGAATTGTTGCTATCCTGGTTCCTGTACAGAGCTTGAGTGACCTGCTCAGCATCAACCAAAGGAACCAAAGTAAACTCACAAGATCTTGGTTTACCTTCCTGTGCTCAGACAAGATCTCCTTCTAGACATTAAACAATTACTAGGCAACCAAAAATTCTCAAATTTGCCATGAAAACTTGAGCAGGAGCATCCAGGAAACAATTTTAAAGACTACTGCCACTAAACTCTCCCAAGGACTTGTTCTTGTGTGAACGAGTACTTGTCATTTCAAGTACAAGCCTGGTGGCAACAGCCGGAGAACTGAACAACCCAGTTGTGCTACTGAAGCGAGGCACGGATCTAATCCCACGATGAGGAGATGACTCCTTCAGAGAGGCCCGTTATAAAATTATCAAGTGACACAGGGGGTGGAAGGAATCAAGCCCGTTGTAATTGAACTGACTTGAAATAATAAATGCACACACTTTCTTTAAACACAGCTTGCCACATCCTGAGAATCTGGAATCAATTCTTTCCCTTTCAAGAAGCTTAAAAGTGGTGGGACTTTGATATGGCATGAATATGTTTGCTTCTGGGCTTACAGCCCTCGCCAGCCTGTTCCAAACCTTTCAACATTTTTATATTATAAGAGAGAAAAGTTAGGAAAACAAAGATGGAAAAAAAGAACCAGAAATTCAGGGAACTATTAAATCAGGGCAGCCTAGCTGCCAAATACCTTTGGTAAGTAAATGAATAATGATCAATAACATATTGCCGTACAGACTTACAGAAGGTTATCACCTGCTTCTGTGCCAGCCATAAAACATAACGGTGTGTGGCTAATGAAGTACTGCATGAATCCCAGAAAAAAAGTACTGTTTTCCTCTGTAACGTTAAAGCATTTTACTTCAAAGTAATTTTAACTCATCCAGAAAAAACATTATTTTTTCCATGAAAACTTTGTCAAAATCGATAGGTTACTGTGAAACACTTCCCTTTTGACAATGTTGCATTTGCAAGAGGAAACTGTCTTGATCGAAGGAAACCTATTTTGTTAAGGGGATGTTTCAGCCCTGATGGTAAAGCTGCTTGCTTTATATATTCACATATTTGCCAGCAGAGGGTATCACAGTCTTAGAAACAGACATATGTAGCATTGTGTCTATTCATTTGCATGCAAGAATTCAGACACACACTAAATCAAGAAATTACAAACCCTGTTTTCTTCATTAACTTTTCCACTATAAGAAAAAAGATAAAACTATTCAGCTACTTAAAGGCTACAGACTCTGTTATCAGTGCCATCTTACCACCTCTCTCAGGAGAGAAAACATTGCAACGACAAAGCCAAGTGATGGCATCACTTGAAGTCTGAAATTGTTGCATGACCCTGGCTGTAAACCACCCTGGGAGGAACAGCTTGGGCTTATCTTCCGCGTGCATTAGGTTCTCATTAATTCTCACATCCAGTATCCTCATACTGCATAAATATCATTAATTATCCCAACCACTTCACGCCACTTTTCTGCAAAGATGTAATAGCCACAGGCTGCAGTGAGAGCTCATGTTACATAAACCGCACGATCTCTGCTAAACCAGTATGCTACGAAGGATGATCATATATAATTACAGCTAAGCCACACTTCTTGCAGATAGAGATAGACTGATGCTACAAATTCCCAGCCTGATATCCCACACATTACCGAATACACCTCCCTGACTCCCAGGTTAAGAGAACATAATTTAAACAACCTGATGTTTGGTGCTTTAGTTAACTTGGTATTCAGCACTCCCCTATTCCCCACTAAAATAAATTAAAATTATTTTTTATACAAAAGTCTGGGTTCTCTGTTCTGTTCTGGATTTATTAACAAGTCTTTTTCTATTTGTGTATTTTGATCGTGTGCAACTCATCGTCTCTGGGGTGGCTTTCTTGATTGATCCAAGCACTTGAGTCAGCTGGAGCTAGGAGCTGATATAGAGGATGAATATGAGACGTGTATTACCTTTATCTGAGAGCTGGCGTGTATGGGAACTGTTTAAGATAAAACCACAAGCAGTAATCTCTGTTCTTTTTGGATTTCACCTGCTCATATGGAGACAGAGAAAGGGACATTCTCCCAAGTAATTACATTTTATGTTTATAAAATGTTTTTTATTATTACAGAACTCTATACAACTACTTCTGCAGTTATACAGGAAAGACTGCATCAGAGCCTGCTGCAAAATGACATGTACCAGATCAGGGCTAGAGCCCCCAGATCACTCTTTGATTGGTGTTGCAATTTTAAAAAATACTAGTCAAAAAAGAAATAGGTCCATTAGGAAATATGTATACAGTGGTGCTGACCTTTCCTTTTTGCACATAGTCTTTTCACTGCTCAAGAAATCTAACTACCTTTTAATCAACTGACTATCTGTCATCCAAATCAGCCTTCAGAATAACTGCTGTAGGTTCAGATGAACTGCACAGGAAAGTGGGTAAAATGTCCCTGGGAGAAGGGAAAAGCTATTCTTGTTTACCCCTTGAAAACTGCAAGACAATTACTCTGCTGAAATTGAGGTCTACTTCCCGCATGGCATAAGTCTGCACTGATAGGCCCGAGGACTTCAGTCCTCAGGTGCTTTCCTTCTTATGGAAGGAACATGTAGGTACTACCATTCTGCTTGTCTCTGCTTTATTCTCCCTGCACTGCAGCACTCCAGCTGTAAAAAATTAAGCTAAACACTTTTACCAACTTCAAAGAGGAAAGTTGACTATCAGGACGTTCAGAGATTGCAGTGTGTCTGCATATCACAAGAGCACAATCCAGCAAACTAAACCAAACAAGGATGTTTGCAGGGAACAAAGACTGTTGCTCTCCTACAGCTTAAGACCTCTTCTCTCTATAACCTTGGTGTGCTTAATTGCCATTGGGAAGCATTTTCCTTTTATTTTCAAGAGTACCTAAAGCAAGAGTTTGCTTGGTGGAACTAGGGGAAGCTCACTTTAATCACACTGCAGCTGGTAAAAAGGTGAAGACCCGATCATGAGCACTTTGCAGGGTTAGATTCCTTATCTCACAGTGGCGGATATCCGGCCTTGAATTCCATCTCTGGTCATGGCCAAATGCAGACAGCTCTAGGACAGCCATTTATTACGGGCTGGAGCTGCCATCCCTTATGAGTCGAGGGATTTGCATATCACAGAGTCACTGAGAAGCGACGGGTTGGGATTATGCATGTGGACAGACACTCGTGGCTGTTTTAGAATGCAAGGGGCAGCACAGCTAAATTTAAGATTTACAGTTGCGGAGCAGACCATAAAAATTCCTTCTAAATGGCCAAGCTATTTTATTTACACTGTAACATCTATTTAGTCTCACTCTTAATTTACCTTCCTTTTACAACTTCCAACAGAGGTTAGCTGAGCATCCCATTAGCATTAGACTAAAAAATCACTTTTTAGCACCCCTGAGAAGTGAAGCACTATAATTGTTTCTTTCTGTTAACAATGTAAAAATATTAAGGAGCAGATTGTTATCTGACATAAATCATCATTTACCCATTTTCATCTCACGGGTCAGCCCCAGGCAACAAAACATAATTGCAGAGATGAAATCTGTGGCAGAGCTAGAACCTGAAACAATCTAGTCTTCTCTGAATGATACGATATGAGCGCACGGTGTTTAACATGCCTTAGGTCTCTGTCTGTGAAGCAACTAACATGAGGTAAGATGTTCATCAGTGAGTGACTGCAAATGTTCTACTAGATCGTCTCAAGCGATATGGCAGTGTAAATCCTTAGCTTTCACGGAGCAACAGGAGCTTAGACTAGCCAAAGCCTTGTCTCTCTGAGGGGAAAGGAATGTGGAGAAGAAAAGCAATTTCATTAAGAAGACAGCGTAGGACGCTTGTAAATATGCATGGCATCCAGCTTCTGGAGGGGTTATTTCTTTTGACACGCAAACATGTCAGGGGAAGCCTGGAGCTTACAGAGTGCAATTACATTTCTTAAAGCCACTTCTTTCATTTAATTGCTTTGTACTTGATGTCTTCATATTATCCAGTTTATATGAGCAAATTAGCTACAGTTGCGTAACATAATCATAAGTGGGCCAAGAGTCTGATGGCCATATCTAACAAATTATGAAGAGTCAGGGCATGAGTTGCTCTCACCCAGTCATTCACTGCTAAATTTTTAGTACTAGCACAGTTTTGAGTCCTTTCAACACACAATCCTCTAAGCAGTGCCTGGGCAGGGTAGAGGAGGTCGCACGAGTCACCAGCCACTTCCAGTAAGCAGTATTGGATCCTGTTCTGGTGAGGAAGCTGGGCTGTATGGACAGGGTCCACGTCATAGCAGTTGGTAAAGGGGCTACTAAACACTCTGTGGCCTGTTTTATTTACTCATACAGATGTAGTTAATTCAACTGTGGACATGTGGATTGAGTCCACTGAACCAACCATCTCAAGTTGATCATCAGCAGTACCTGATATCATATGAACAGTTTACAATAAGATGATGGCAGAACAGCAAAATTATTCCAGTTCTAAGCACACAAACTCCCTGTCACATTTGGTGATGATCCTACTCACCAGCATTATCCTGCTGCTTGGTATTTTTGATGTAAGCAGAAAATTTGGAAAAGATATCAATTCCAGCAGTGTTTGATTCCCGGTGCTTAGCAGCCAGCTTGGGGTACCTGAAAAGGGAGCAGCAGTGTAGAGAGTAACATCTTGTTATCAGCAACATAGTGATGATTACAAATACAATTTACAAGAAGAAAGAAAAAAGTCCTGTACGAGGAACTGCAATTAATGATGTCATTTATCTGAAAAAAACCACTTGGCAAGTCCCTCTTAATAATACCTGTGTCTGTCAAGGTAGGCATTTTGATAGTTACACAGGGATGGCTTCATAACAAAGGTAATTGCACTGGTGCTTTATGTTACCACAATCCAAGATACAGTGGCCTTAAATCAGAAGGAAGCATAAATTTCCAGAAAGGTGCAGGGGAATTTGGCAGCCAGCTCACTCTGTTATGAATGGCAGTCATGTCTAATTCCCTATGCTGAAAATCTACTCCAGGATGTAATAGCAAGGCACGTTAGTATTACCCAGGTGAAGGAACATATAGTTTTCAGTCTCTAAATTGTTTTTTATAGACATCTGGTGCAAAGAAGTGTATCGACTTGAAAGACCGACACAAACTAATGACTCCTACTGACTTCGGTGGTCTTGAATCAGAGTATAGAAAATTTAAATACCCGATCTCTTGCCTCAGGACTGGCCTATAGCTGCTGATTCACTTTGAGGTAAAACACTCCATAAGGAATCAAGCCAATTTTCATTGATTCATAGATTTTAAGGTCCAAATTACCAGCTAACAATTTTTTTTTTCCCCATTATCCTTGTATTAAGTCCAAAACATTTTACTAAGGCATATCTGGTAAATCTAAATTTTTCCTTGGTATCTTGTTCCAGTGGTTAATCATTCATACTGAAAAAATCTGTGCCTTATTTCTAACATGAATTAGTTTGGTTGTAACTTCCAGTCACGGGCTCTTGTCATTTCTTGACTAGAATAATGAGCACTTTTCTGCCTCCAGAGCTTCTCCTACTCTGTAGTCCGTTCCCCTTCCAACCTTTCTAATACAGCTCAGAAACCTCCAGTTTTTCGCTGCAAAATGCTTTTCCTGGCACCGATATTTTGTGTGGCAATTCTCGGCATCTATTCCAAGTTATTTTTAGCTTTGTAAAATGTGGACACCAGACCCCTACAAAATTTTTCTAGTATTGCTCTCCTTAATTCTGCATACAAGGGCATCCTGAAATGTGTACAGAGAAAACATTCTGCAGTTATTAGTCATACAAGTAACCTTCACACATGGAAGTCATCTCACTGAAGCCAGCAAGTTTCATAAATAAATATTACTCCTGTAAGTAAAGATTGTAGGAGGGAGTGCTTTTTAGGAACTCCTCTTAGGACATCTTTCATTCCTAGGAAATGGAATATTGACTGAAAAAATCTGAAGTTCTTACTTTGGAGGTGCAAGAGTCTCTTCCAAGAATTCCTCAATCTTGTTAACATCTGTCTTGACTTCTCCATTAAAAGTCAAGAAAGGCGGGTGGGTCCCAGGAGCCAGATTGTGTAGGTCAGCTGGCTTTCTGCAGAGAGAGAAAAAGTAGTGAAACGACTAATCTTTATGGTCAGGTAGTTGCACAGATATTTATAGTTCCTACAAAATCAGTTTGCCCTTCTTTTTTTTTTTTTTTTTTTCTGTAGTTTGTGGTTAGAAGACTTTGAAACTACCCCAAGCACCCTGTTTAATTTAAAAACATTCCACAAGCAGAAAAAAAAAAAACAAAAACAAAACCCAAACCAAACCTGAAGCCCAACTATTTTGTTGTGCACCACAGACTCTCTAGGCTAGATACAAATCTGATTGAACTTTGTGGGGCCTTTCCATAGGGTAAACACTGTATCGTCTAGCTATTTTCAACTAAACTGAACAATTTTTACCTTTTCAGGTCAACAGTGGTGACGTTGAACACAACTCCTTTGAGCCACAGGATCATGAAGAGACGCTGGGAGAATGGGCAGTTCCCAATGCTTTCTCCATCTATACCAGCCTGAAGGATGGAAAGAGAGGAAAAATAGATTTCAGACTTGTTAGTCACTTACCTCCCTCAAAATGGAAAATTGGATGTTGAAAGAAAAATAACCAGTTTAAAAATAACTAACAGTGCCTGTTATTTAATATAGTTTATCATCAGCACCAGAATGGTGTTAGTCCAGGATTCAGCCTTCATCAGGAGCTTGAGAAAGCAACCTGGTGCCCCTCCTGAGAGCATCTCTGGGTGAAAGAGATGTGTCCCTTGCTGGTGGCAAGCCACATCCAGGAGACTGTGTATTCTTTCAATTACTGTCATGCCTACAGGACTGCCTGCTTCATGGACATGCCAGAAAACTCAGGACAGGTTTTTTGCTCTATATAAGTCTGTGGACTGCAGCTTGTATCAGCTCAAGACCTGCTTCACCCTTTTACTATCCAAAATGTGGACTTTCAGATCTAGATTTAAATCCAAGCACTGCGGACATTGACTTGTTCTTGTTCACATTCAGTAAAGCAACAGCCTCAAACACAAACAACCAGATCAAGACAAATCTCCATCCGAATCCTTACAAGGTTCCAGGCAGATTTCAGCCACCGCATTCAGTCTATTCCTATCTCTAGTACCTCACGAGTTGCCTACAAACCACTACAAAACAATAAAAAACTGCTAGTGTTAGCATTAAGGAAACAGCCTATTTTTTCCTCTAAAAATTTATGGTCCTTAGCCATGCAAATTCTGACTTTGAGCCATGGAGGGATACAAATAACACTAGCTGAACTGAGCCAAAGCTGCATCCAAGGACAACATCCTTCTACAATAATTATGCTTGTGGCCAAAGCTTTCAGGACGATAATGGTTTTGATAGATTTCCATTTTAATTTGTGGTGCCATTGTGTTTAAAAGTTTCTTATAATCCTGGTGAAGCAACCAGCCTTCCGTTGTTGACCCACATGGGTTGCATAACTGCATTTTATGCACACAGTGTGTGTCCGAAAATGGCTGATGAAAGACCTAAGCAACTGCATGCCCTTTTCCTTTGGAGAAAATACGATATTTCTCTGTTTTCTCTCACAAATTTTATCTTACTAATATTGAAGCTGTGAGGTAGCATTTCTCTGTCTTAAAGAAGGAATCGCTTCTAATTATTGCAGTTCTGTGAAACATTCACAGCACAACCATGAACATTTTCAGATGTGTCCAGTTGCTACAAATTCAGGCCTTGCATGTGAAATGTTTAGCTGAAAGATTTTCTGGTAGGCTACATGAATCTTTCTCATGTCTTGAATGCAGCTTTTGGTGATTCTGAGTGTAAAAACAAATTCCACATTTCCTATCCACCAAAATATGGAGGCAGTGTGGTTTCAAGGCTTGGAGACAGCCTGTCATAAAGTTTAGGGCTATATAAAGAGGTTTTCTCTGGCTTCAGATTCAGTTTCAAACGCTCAGACTCTAGAGGTATTTGGACATGGATGTACAGTTTGGCTGCACTTTTACCTGAAATTATGGACCTGCAATATGCCTGGCACATGGCATATGCAGGAAACAGCAAATAATGTGGGTGAAAGAGTGGTATGGCATGAGGATGAGTGAGACAAGATTCATTCTCCCATCTGCCTGAAGTGTGAAGAGCCTAGTTTGCAAAACTGTATTAATGAAATAGTTACCTCTGTTCTGCAAATTTCATGGCAGAAAGACAATGTTACCACGGGAATACCAGGCACCACTGTATTGCATGCAGTAATTACTGCAAAGTCGTATTTGTTAATTTGACTTTGGCTTGTTAAGCCATTGCCAAGAGCTTTTAACTTCTTACCCTTCCTGAAAAGAGGCAAATGCTATAGGAGAAAACAGCGATACAACACCAGATTTCCCCTTGTTTTTTTCACTGTCTTGATCATAATCATATCCTTCATAATGGAGTTGGCTAACTGAGGCTACAAACAATATATTACAAATCCAAAATTCGAAGAAAAACAGACCAAATTAGAGGGTCAAAGAGTGCAGAAAGAAGCGCTGATTCTCATCTTACCTTCTCTGGATCTGCTTTGACTTATAAATTCATTGATTCTGATCCACTCTTCACCTGACTCCCTTCAAAGTGAGTGTCAAACCCTGGTTTGCCAAGTCCTGCAAATAGTTTGTGAGCAAAGGGGTCTTGTCTCACAATAAAATGCAAAGCTCCAGCCCTCCTGCAGGTCTCCATCCTACATAGAGGCAAACTTCCACCTGTGCTCATCACCCACTTCTTGTGCTGCAAGTAACAATTTCATCTTTTTCAGGAAAGAGACTCATGGAGACCATTTTCGTGCTCCGCACAATTGTATATTCTCATACAAAGGTTAAGTGTTACCCAGATCTGCAACTTTTTTACACGATATCCATCCTGCAAGGCAATGGTGAAAAGCTCTCTCAAGACCAGAGAGGACTAAAGGGGGGCCAGAGCAGCTGAATGGCAAAGAAGAGACAGAAATGATGGGTCATGTGAGGCCAAGTGATGCAGAAGCCATTGGGGACAGGAGAAAGATGTGAAGTCTGGAAGAAATAAGATTCGTTTGGAGATCAAAAATAAGATTAATTGTGTAGGTCAAATGAGGCCTCCAACAGCCCCAAATAGTCAAAATATCTTCCCAACACTTCCAAGAGAGTGGAAAACATTAATTGCTAGAGACACATTGGGAATAGACAGAGGAAATTCCAGAAAAAAAAAAAATACAAACTAAAGAAAAAGTACGGTATGATCTCTGTTCAAAGCTCCTGGATCTGGAAGCCAGGCTCATGATTTGGGTGGAGTCTGACTCATGGGCTTTGATCTCATGTGACTGGCATAACTGAAAATGCTACCACAAATCACAAGGCAAACTGGTGACAGAGGAGGGAACAGAATCAAAATCTCCCCAGCAACACAATTTATCCATTAATTTCAGCTCTTTTTCTGCAGAAATTATAGGCAAGACTGTCAGTTTTGTGAATCCTTTCTCATTGCTTCTAACAGCAGTCAGTAATTCAATGTTCAGCACTCAGAAACAGCAAAATCTTAGTAGGTAATAACTTCAAAGGCTTTTCGGAGTGTGTCGAGATCCCTTGTGAAGTGTATTAACTACCAGGAGGAGACAAGGAAGAACAGAGGACTTCCTAGGCTTAGTCACTCTTAGCTTCAAAGAAAAACAGCTTGCTTAAAGCACCCAGTAGTGCCTAAATACAAGCCTATTATGTATCTGTCCAAGGTTAAGGACTCAGAAATGCAGGAATTAAATAATACCTTCATCAAGATCAAGAACTCAAACAGTGGATGGAAAGAAAAGAACAAATAATTGACAAGCTAGAGAAACACCATTTATCCCTGCTGTTATTCACAAATGAGCACAAAATCTTTCTCACATAGTTTCCCTGAAGCACAGCAAAAGTGATCAACCACTTATAAAAAAGGAGCAAGTTGATGATATATACACTGTCAGTAATGCTGCGTATTTCTGATTTAATGATTGCAACCAGGGATAGACAGCAGGGTTTGTGGGTACTAGGATCAAGGAAACAGAGCTTCCGAAGTGCAGCGTAAGTCCCAAAGCTCTGAAAGGGTTTCAGAGCCTCATGCTCCCCATGGAGAAGGACCTCACTTGAAAAGGCAAATTCCCAGAGTGACTGTGGAAGAGTAAAAGAGATTGGAGGATTTTCTCGGTGACACTCTTTGGCCACTGAAGTTTAACTGAAATGCCTAAGGGAAGGTCTCCTGTGTGGGCAAGGACAAGATGCACATCCAAAAAACGAATCTGGCCACCTTTCACTTTGACTGAATCTGACGAGTGCCTCAATTTACGTGGGATGAATGTGGACCTCAGCAACAGAAAAGCCTGGAGTTTGTGGAGACAGAATTTCTACAGAATTATTTTGCTCCATCTTAGAAACATCATTTTCTGCTCCTTTCCTTCACATAAGCTTACTTTTATTAGTTCAACTACTAAAAAAATATGCTTTTTTACTTAAACTCCAGACATTTAGGTACTTCACACCAGCTGACGTGAGGTCCTGGAACTTGGTATAATCACATCAGGAAAACCCCACTGTCACACCAGCTGTCTGCCTCTGAGCAATGGCAAGAATGAACAAGATGTTCTCCTTTATTATTTGTAAGATGCTCCTCCTCAAATACTTCAGCTATTTTTAATGAATTCATTAAACCTTAAAGATATTTGTGTGCACAAGTGGGGGATGTACGGACACATTACCAAGGAACAAAATTAAAAAGGTTTCAGGGCGCGGGTGTGTGTGTGGGGGGAAGTCTCAGTGATTTTATGAGCTTGTGACAAGTATTTTTGTAAAGCAGTGGTAGTATCGAGAGCCTCCAACCACTGAACAGCACAGCTGAGTGACGTGAATAGGGAGCTCTTCTCAAGTTCAAGCTAATACTTCGCTTTAAATGAAACAACCGGAAGAAACTCCCTCGTTCCAAAAATACTCCAACTGGTGCATGCACAGTGACTGCAATGCACACAGACAATTATATATTACTTTAACTAACCTTAAGGAGGGAAAAAAAAGTGAGTTTCATTTCCAGTTATTCCCAAAATATAGCAGTTTTAGAGAAATATACCATCATTAATAATGGGTAAGCATCTAGCTCAAAAAAGGCATGCTGGAAAGAGCTGCATATCGGAAAGCACTGTGTTTTTTCCAGGAAAATAATATATTTGGGTTTATCTGTTCTCCTTCTCCTTTCGTTGCATTGAGGCCACTCTGCACAATGGTCCAGTGCTCTCTTAGACACTGGGGGGGTAAAGTAGGGAGATATTTTTGATGACACTAAAACACATTTCTTTTTCAAAAGTATTTTAATGAGTTAGCAAAAGCAGTCAGGCTAATTCACCTCAAAGTTTCTCAGTAAGAATTAAGGAGGGATTTGATTTCACGATTCCTACAATCAAAATCTCGACTCATATTACACATGGTTACACCCTCTCTGTTTTAAAATTGGGAAAGCTCCTGCCTTTTGACACTTACTCTCCTTACCCTCAGAACCC